GCATGTTTTTTATGCTAATCTATTCTTATAAACACGAAGTCCCTTTGATGATATATCAGTTTGAGAGCGATTTTTGAAATTTTTTAAATTATAGCTATACCCTTAATGAATCGGCTCAATTAAGATCCATGCCATCAAGACTTAATTACGATAATGCCACTATGATATACCGATTACTTAGTTACGATAATGCCACTAATGGTATAAGGTCCATCATTTATGATATAGTCAGATTTTATTATATAAAGGAGGATGTGCACAATGAGAGTTTGATATGTATGCAAAATTATAACTCACCAAATCATGACATGTGTCTACTATTGATTTGATACTTAAAACTAATTAAGAAAAAGTAAAAGTAAAAATAGAAAACGAACAAAATAATTGTTAAGTAATTAACAAAATAGTAAAAAGTAAAAAAATTTTATATTTAAAACTAATAAAAAAAAGAAAAATTTTAATAGTCAAAACTAAATAGATAAAGAAAGTTAATAGTTTAAAACTAATTATAAAGTAAATTAAGAAAGAGAATAAAGAGTATAAACCGTAAAGATAAAAAACGGAGAGAAATAAAAAAAAATCAATAAAGAAAAATAAAATGTGAATGATAAAACAAAATATTTATTATATAAAAGAAGGTGAGAGTGCGACACGTACACAAAATTGTAACTCACTAGATCGTGTGTAATAATTAAAATCTTATTATATTAAAACAAAACTAAAAATAGAATACTAACAAAATAAATGTTAAGTAACTAACAAAATAATAAAAAGAAGAAATAATCTTATAGTCCAAACTAATTAGAAAAAAAAAATTTTTAATAGTCCAAACTAATTAAGAAAAATACAAAATATTTAGTTGTCAAAACTAATTATAAAAAATAAGAAAGAAAATAAAGAGAATATAAATCATAAAAAGGTAGGGAGAGAACAAAAATTGAAAAAATAGTAACTTAGAAAAAATATAAGTCACAAAAAGGTACTGAGAGAATAAAATAAAAAGACTTATGAAAATACAAAAGAGGATATATAAATTGGAAAACAAAAATTAGAAAGAACATGGAATCCTAATTTAAAATTTTAAGGTATGCACAACCATGTGAGAGAACAGAAAAATCTAGAGAAATTTTAAAAAATGCCATTTTTCAAGTGCCACTTTACAAAAATACCACATTTTTGAAATTTTTACAAAAATGCCACTTTTTCAAAATTATTTTTTCTTTATATTATTTATATTTGGGTTAATTATGTTCTATTAGGGTTTAGTTATGAGTGTTTAGGGGGTTTTAGGTATCAAAACATTTTTTAGGGTTTAGAATTTTAAGATATAGGCTTTATAAATGTATAATTAGTGACATTTTTTTTAAATGGACACCCTTAAGTGGCATTCTTGCAAATGTACACTCAAAAAATGGCATTTTTGTAATTGCCCCAAAAATCTATAAACATACTTTTCAACAGAATTATAGAATATTACAAAAATGAAAATTTTCGACTTAAAACAATATTGGTACTTTTATTGTTTTAAAAAAGGAAATTGTATAAAATGAAAGTTAAAATGATAATAATATATTTACTATTAAGATTCAAGGATGTTTAAAACTAGGCGAGTATAGATCTCAATGAGAAAAGAATCGATGACAATAATGGCATACTTTTATTGATTACGGATTATGGATTATAGATTCTTAATAAATGATTTACATGAAATTTATTCTTTTCTAATTTAACTCTACAGTATTTGAATTATTTTACGATTTTATCACATAATTAATATATATATTCATAATTGGTAAAAATGTACTTTTTTAATTAAGAATATGAATTGAATTC